ATTGTTAATTGAGCTTTTACTAAAACTAGAGGTCCCGCAGTAGTCGAAATTCGACTATAATTAATTGGAATTGTAAGTTTGTACACTATTATGATTGTATGTTATACTTCTATAATCACAAATTTCCCCAAGACTACACTATAAAAAATATTAACAAAGACAAACAATATATTTTAATCTAATCTCAATTTGACAACAAAAAGAACAAAAGTTTGACAGTAAATAGTATGCATGCGTGTGTGCGTCAAATACATAGTATGTAGTGTATGTAATGTTTTCTTTATTGATTTAATGTATCTTTTATGCATTATTTTAAAAAAATATTAGCATTGTGCACTTTTTCTCTACATTCTATATAAGTGTGGAAAATTTCATACTCCTCCGTCGGCGCGATTTTCGTAAAAAGGGATACAAAGTTTTTGCTTCACGTATTAATATATAGATATTTAGGGTATTAAGTAAATTCGTGTAATGTGTTTGTGGAGGCTGAGACGACGAAAGGATCTTCTACCGAGCGGAGGATATTGCTCGGTAGACCGATGGTTCAAATGTTATTGTTCGCAACTTGTATAAATGCAAGCTTATCTTGAAAATGTCGTAAGCGAGATACAGGCATCTGTCAAATACCTTGCGTTGTATGATGGCTACCCGACATAAGAATTTGCCACAGTCGCAGCAAAGCGTGACCTCTCTTCCCTACATCATTAAATATATAACATACTAAAGATACGACTACAAACAACGTTTTCACGATCACCGATATTAGGGTCGTCGCTTTATGACTAAACAAATTGGTAGGGGCGTTTCGGTCCCCTTGAACAGACGTTGATTAATTTTAGGCATCAATCGAAAATCATTCCATCATCCGCGCCTTCTTAAGCGCTTGAGGTACGTCAACGATCCGAAATTTTTAATTTAACAGGTCATGCTATAAATATATCCATAACAATGTTGATGTTCAACAAAGTCACTGAATTTCTGGTTTCAATGTTTTCAACTGTATTAAAAAAGTATTGTAGTAAAACTTTGTTACTTTTACTTTTTAGAGTTGTAAGTCAGAATTCGTGCTTGGTACACAATTCTGCAACATAGTTAGATTCATCTCCTTCTATCTCAGTTACTCAAATGCTTACTTTACATAAGGCATGTACGCAAAATGTTTTTATACCCTTCTGAAAAACGTACGTAGTGGGAAGAACTCTTTACAAATTTTCACCGCGGCGCGCTGGTTCTATATTTTTGGAAGGAAGTTTTTGCGGGGGCGATTATCGCTAAAGATGCACAAAAAGAGGAGCAGGCTGAGGCTAGGTTATGAGGAGTAGGCGTATCTGCCAACCCGTCGCTAGCTTCTTAGAGGCTGCAGAATTCAACGTCACTGCTGGACGACGCGTAATGGCGGCGGCTGGCCTGACGACTTGACACGGCACTCTTCTAAATAATTTATCCATAAAACTGGTATACCACTCGCGCAATGACAAATATGATCGTCAGTAAGAGTTCGTAAGTTAGTAGAAAATTAACAAGAGTCTACAAAAATATTTATGTGACAAAACAAGCGGCGTGTGCGTGTACAACGCGTGCGGTGCGGTCGGCGATAGTCTTCTTTTTTATTTTTGACTTTTGCTTTTATGTTCTTTTTTATAACTAGCCATGCGATAGGTTTTATGTCTACTCTCATTAAAAAAGAACCAGTACGTATTTGTATAGCATTACCAAAATTTACATTTGTACTCGTTTGAAAAATGTACTCAATACTACAACATTACTGAGCTACTTACAAGTTCGATTGTCATTTACCCTTATATATTATTACTTAATGACTTTAGTTAGCTGCTTAGCTAGGGCAATAGTGGGCGTAGAAAAGCAACATCTATCAATAATATAGCAAAACTTGCACGAATTTACAAGTTCTCAAATTTAATGTTGCGATCAAAAAGTCCTCTTATAATCAGTTGAAGACTGGTGCTAGAGTCTACTGTTAACCCGTACGAGTTGTTGATACAATCTTGCCTATTGCTCCCGAGAAGCAGTCAAACGTTCTAGTTTGAAGCGTAGGATTATCATTGTAATGTAAAATTGAGACCTCCATATCACATCTCTAGATGGGTTATGACTTTTACGTCGTAGGTTATGTATTTACGCTGCTGTAACTTTTTAAAATTCTTGTATCTATGGTTAATAATATGTATTATTATTTGGCAGTACATAGTAGTTATATGTTTTCAGTTTAGTAGTTCCATTTTCTAAAAGGAAAGGTAAAGATATCATTCCATAGAGCCTAATCTTTTAGATATTCTGTTAACTGAAAAATAATATTGAACGAAAAGAAACGAGATGATATGGGATGAAATTTAATCTCAGTAAAATGGCGATTATTTACTGAGACTTTTTGGAAGACCCGAGAAGCCACGTCCATCGGCTTTGTTTTATTTTCCCACATTTGTGCACTTTCACAGATACTAAACAATTCATAAACCACCGTTATTGCGCGTTTAAGCCTGAAGAAACACTAAATTAACAAAACAAAACACTACTCACATATCTACGCACCTCGTGTTCCCGCCAAAAGTCCATATTATGTTTTCTATTTACCTAACCTAAAAACCATAATCCTTTTACGTGTAATAATACCTTTCTGAACAAAATGTCAATAAAGTAATTTATTATAACAATAGAGACGAGTAATGAGGTAAAAATATAAAAAATCTGGAATAAAAAAGCTGTCAGACGGAAAACTAACCACATGGAAAATCTTTTTCAGTAGGAACATTACTAAAATATTGCTTCTGCGTAACCTTAGGGGATCGTATACGAACAATCTTTTTTGTATTTACCTCATTTCATTTGCCGTTGTTCTGGCCCTGTGCCTGCGGTAATATACTTCGTTTTACAAAAAAAAAACACTCGTATAAGAATCCACTAGGTAATGCAAATATATGTTTAGTTGAACGCAATTTTTACGGATTTTTCGTATTCGTATAATAAAATAATAATAAAATACAGACGCTATCGCCATTGCCTTAAACGTAAACTTTATTTAATCACCACTAACTAAAAAAACCTGATTTTCAATTTCACTTTGAAGCTTGGATACAACAACAGTAATAATAGCTTAATTTCTTACAAATGTATTAGGGTCTTTTTACTGGTGGTAGGACCTCTTTTACTGGTGGTAGGACCTCTTGTGCGTCCGCGCGGGTGGGTACCACCACCCTGCCTATTTCTGCCGTGAAGCAGTAATGCGTTTCGGTTTGAAGGGTGGGGCAGCCGTTGTAACTATACTGAGATCTTAGAACTTATATCTCAAGGTGGGTGGCGCATTTATGTCGTAAAATGTCTATGGGCTCCAGTAACCACTTAACACCAAGTGGGCTGTGAGCTCGTCCACCCATCTAGCAATAAAAAAAAAGAGTCGTTCATCCATCACTCGTGGAAGTGAATGTTAATGATTTTTAAGAATTTATACAACATAAATATTTACATAAACAATATACCGAAAACAATCCAAGCGGTGAGAAATCTTTCATTTAGTAATAGTTGTAAAAGTAGTACTATCAATTTTGACAAAAATCAGTGCAGAACGCGAACCGAAACACGATTCCTATGCAATTCGGAAAGTGTTTGTACGGAAAAATACATATACTCGTACGAAGGATACAAAATTACCATTGGTTATTATTCTATATTTTAGGCCATATTTTCTCGCGTGTGTGCATAGAAAAAGCCTTTTCCAGAGTACATACGATATCGCATATTCGTGTAGCGCCTGGTTGTTTAATCTGCATATTTATCCGTACAAAAAGTCTATCTCGTTTTAAATTTGTTTGTTAATTTTTCGTGGATTTTAAAGTTTGCTTTTTTATTTCAGCACTTAAACAGCGTAAAGGTTTTCGTGTTTTGTTATTATAAACCAACTTTATTAAGATACTGTAGGGCTATTATTGGTTTGCAGTCAAAGTTCTCTCTGTACCGAGACAATGCTAATCAAAATTGTTAGGAGTTTCCGAGTTAAAGTTTTGCTTCTGTCCGTGTTTATTAAGATTGTATTATGCTTAGATCAGTTCGTTAAGATTAAGTAGATTAATCGAAATCAGTGGTACATCTACTGTTATTAATACAAAAAAATATATAATAATATATATATATATAGAAAAAAGTGAAATTGAATATAAAATTATTGAAATCGATCTAAAACTTATATTTACAAAACTATAATCGGCAGACGTGTAAAAGAAAGACATATTGAATTGCAAATAATATATTTGGCAGGTATTATTTGCAATACAAGTTAATTTTTCATAAAATAAACCATGCGGGTCCCGATAAATTATGATTAAAACTATTAGGTATTAGTTAGCTTAGGTAATTAATTAGGTATTATAAAAATAGGTATAATTGATTCAAGTTCTTCACTTTTTTTATTTTTATTTTTTATTTCTTAGATGGGTTGACGAGCTCACAGCCCACCTGGTGTTAAGTGGTTACTCGTTTTTTTCCAAATACATTTGAAAAAATTTAATCTATACTAATAATTATTATAAAGAGGAAAGATTTGTTCGTTTGTTTGTACTGAATAGGCTCCGAAACTACTGAACCGATTTGAAAAATTCCTTCACTGTTTGGAAGCTACACTATGCCCAAGTGATATAGGCTGTAATCTTTTTTGAAAAATATTAGGGATCCTTACTAAAACTCCAATAATGTAATTCAAGGTCTAAAACATTACTTAAAATATTATTTACATCGCGTGCCCTGCGAAAACTATTGATGACAGAATAACGACTTTGTACAACACATTATTATTTACAAAAAGTGTCGCGACAGCATATGTCTAACTATTATAGTTATGCCGCAATAAGGGTTTCTTTCTTTAAAAAAATAAAACAACGTCTAATATCGTTAAAATATTTGTTAAAGACCCGAGAGGAGCCGGAGCGGGCCGCTAAATTTTATAAAGTTTTAGAACGATTCCTATCTATTGAATGATGTATCAATCGCAGGTTCAATACCCGTGTTCTGGAGCGTACATGCTCAACACTGGAAGATCGACGCGTCGCCGCCTTGCTGGTCTGCGGGGGCGGATCTGCTGCAGCGGCAGTGGTGACGGCGGCAACTAGAGCTGGCGTTCCCGTACTCCGCACTACTCCTTCGCATCTGCATCTCGCCTACACTATAGCTAACGTGAGTTATAAACAAAAGCTAACATTATATCATAATGCAATACTTATTATAAAAAAATGTGCTTAAAGTAAGGCGATTTACTTCTGCGTATTACATTAATACGCAGAATACGTGAAGGAATAACGTCGTGTAATAAAAATCAAACCCGCAAAGTATAATTTGCGTAATTACTGGTGATAGGACCTCTATTGAGTCCGCCCGAGTAGGTACTACCACCCTGCCTATTTTTGCCGTGAAACAGTAATGCGTTTCGGTTTGAAGGGTGGGGCAACCGTTTTAACTATAGTGAGACCTTAGAACTCATATCTCAAGGTGGGTGGCGGCATCTACGTTGTAGATGTCTATGGGCTCCGGTAACCACTAAACATCAGGTGGGCCGTGAGCTCGTCCACCCAGCTAAGCAATAAAAAAAAAACATTTGGTTAGAATTAGCTTCGTAAAAATGTAAAAGCCTACTATGGCATCAATTTTTTTTTACACCTTAACTAAAACTTTTACCTACTATGTATTCCAATGTATTTTACCTTGATCGGCACATTGTTTTATGTTAAAATTCTCTGCAGAGATCACTTAGTTTAATGACCTTACTGACTACCCCCCGCGAATACAATACCCTGTAACAGAAACATAAAATGTACTTTCTGTTCCCGACCAATGTCAAAGTCGAATTATTATTAAGAATAAGAATTTTAAAGTTTTAAAATCATGTAGATATCTTATTTTGTTATCTGACACACCCCTTATAATTTAATTCAGTGAGTGCGATTCATCCTTGGCTCCACGATAAAGGGGATAGCCACCCAGCCGATGAAATAATGTTGCTACGTGACAGATGTGCCGAGTGACGGTACACGGGATACGTTCTAACATTATTTATACGATATGCAGATCATATGATTAGATATCGTGTTTCTTTTACGTGTCTTAAACTAAAGATTATGTTTCAAGCAAAAAATTCAATAAAATACCGTAACGGGACCGGCTAAATCATTAGTAAAACAAAAATTAGAATCCTTAACTTAATAATACTAGATTCGTTTTGTTGTCATTATTGAATAAAGAATTCGCAATAACCGTATGTAAGCATCAAACAAATTTTGTATTTTCCTTCAAAATATATACGTTTCGTCACAATATCCGCAAACGACACGTTATTATGTGCATAACATCCTGGCAATCGAGAGACGTTTCCGTTCAAGGAAAGATTCTTTTCATATATTTTCTTCTTTTTTTTTTCGAAGAGATTCACGTCCCTGTCCCTCACGAGAGCGGTGAGCGTCGCACAAAATTATGGGTCATTTATTAGCCACTTTGGCCCCGATTACAAATTGACGTGGATTAATGTCACCCGAATATCTCGACACGTCTGAGTTATAACTGTTTTAGAACAAATTGCGTTCACTAGAATAGAGGTGCCGCTACAATAGTGGAACGCGACCGGTATTAAGCACTGTGGCTATTCAACTGGAATTTTTATTTCTTTTAGGATATGCTACCCCTAGAAATAAGACTCGAAATTACTGCGCGGGAAACTTTGCAAGCACTCAGGTAATTCTGTCAATAATAATTGTTTTACTGCTCTAACTCTGTCGAACTTTGTCGCGACACGAGTATTCTAGATTCTCTACTTTGTACTCTAGTTTCCAAATAAAACAGATAACTAATTCTACTTAATTTCTTACTAGTGTTAGGACCTCTTGTGAGTCCGCGCGGGTGGGTACCACCACCCTGCCTATTTCTGCCGTGAAGCAGTGATGCGTTTCGGTTTGAAGGGTGGGGCAGCCGTTGTAACTATACTTGAGACCTTAGAACTTATATCTCAAGGTGGGTGGCCCATTTACGTTGTGGATGTCTATGGGCTCCAGTAACCACTTAACACCAGGTGGGCTGTGAGCTCGTCCACCCATCCAAGCAATACAAAAAAATTAAAAAAACTGTACTGTGACCGTGAAAAATGTTTCGCCCGAAATATATTCAATTTTAAATCACTACTGAATTATTATGGCGAATAAATTCCCAACAAAAACAAGATATGTAACGGTTTTTCTGTTCGTCTTTTTGGTTCAGATCACATTTCACTGGAAAACTAGACCATTCATATAATTAACATTAATTTTAAGGTTTAATCTCGCGTTTTGATTGTTTTGACATAATTTCCAACGTTTCAAATATTTAACTTTTTCACGGACGGGTATTAGTTGTCGCAAACCGTAAAAACACTTTTAGTTATGTACGACTAATCACTCTACGACTCACAAAACCCAAAGAAAATACCATACATTCATATATCTTTAATATTTAAAGGAAATACGAATTTAACACGTGTTCATGACTAACTTCAACGATGAGAGAAACATCGTGTAATAAAAATAAAATACGGAAAATTTATGCATATATCTCGTCTGAAGCCTTTCATTGGTGGTTACAATCACCCCGCCTGCATGCAGCGTTAAACATTATAATTGAGACCTCAAGTCTCAGACCTCAAGGTCATTCACGCTGTTATATTTATGGGCCCTCACCTAAGTCCAAGTGGGTTGTGAGCTCGTTCGCCATCTTTCGTTTAAAATATTTAAAAACTTCCTATTTAAAATCATAATAATATTATAATATATAATATAAGATGCTCGACATTAACATTATTACTTCAGGAGATCCATAATTATGAACTATTCGATGCCGTTCTTGACCAAGTTAAAAACAGTATAAATTCAGGTTTTAGGTCGACTTTTTACTGTGTTCTTCTTTTTACAGTGTTCTTCTTTTTACAGAGCAACTTTATTACATACACACTGGCATACGTTTACATTATTAGCCGAAGAAGATATACATTCTACATTGTTTCTTCGAAAAGATCTTTTTCCTATTTTGTCGGCTCAGCCATTAAACCCGAAATGGCTTACGCTTCCTTCAAAATATTCACGACATATAATTTTCAGGTAATAACTGTGCTAGTAACAAAGTAATTTTCCATTTGTAATTCTGAAAATAATGACAACACATGATTTTTTATAGGAGACTAGCAGAAATTTCAAGGCTTACCAGAGGCATTGTTGTTCTGATATGCGACATCCATTACGCTAAGCTCGTTATAGATGAAGCTAAACGCCTTAACATGCTTGATGGACATTTTTTCTGGCTTTGGATTGATGCTTCAAAAGATTTTGATGTTTTTCACAACATCAACGATAAAACTCAATTTGTTGAGGATGACATTGCTGAGTTTGAAAATATGAAAGATGGGAGTGAAAAATTTGCTAAAGACAGCTTTGTTCGCAATAAGCGCAATGATGTAGACAATAATACAGTAAAGTATTTAACGGATTACCGACCACCTGCGATGGTGATGGATAAAATTAGCAATATAGCTGTAAATTTAAGTAAAAATAATATAAATAATAATTCAATAAGTCCAAATTTAAGTAATCGTGTCAGAACAAATACGGAAATGTTCAGAACGCACAGTGTTAAAAGTAAATCGTTAAGTAAGAGTTTTAGTCAACCGTATGATAGTGATAGTCATATTATTGGAGAAAGTGATAGAATTGTATATAAAAAAGGCGTTGAAACTTCTAAAATAGAAAACATTTTTACTACGAAGGATAGAGAAACCTTCAGTAGGAATTATAGTAAACGTGTTAGTAATAAAAAAATGAGAAACGAATCTTTTAATAAGTATGTAAATAGTATACATTTGAATGATACACCTAATACAAACAACGTATTAATCGAAAAGGATATAAGTAGTGTTAGCAATGATAAAAATTTAGATATAAAAGAAAACAATATATTATTAAGTGATTTCCTAATGAATCCCACGGTGCATGAGTCTTCGGGAGATAAGCTTAGAGATCCAATTGAGAAAAGAAGTGAAAAACTGTTTACGGAGAAATTTAGAAGTACTGAAGAAAGCCATGGAATAAAAAATGCAACTTTAATTTTCAACAGTCTTCCCGTAGGACTTCTGGCTTTGCATCCACAGCCGATGAAAATAGGTTGGTATTTTTTATTTTTTAAATTTTTATTTGTAAATTTTAATGAAATTCATAAATTTGGCAGATCGTGTATATATTCGTGCAGCGGTAAGATTAATGGTTGGAGCATTACGTCGTGTTTTGCACGCTTGCGACGCTTGGTCTGCACAAGCACAGTTCTTCAGTGACGCAACAGCATCATGCTGGGATGAGCCGAGTGATGTAGCTGCAGATTTTTCATTGGAATTTGTAAGGTGAGAAACAAATCACTGCTCTTATTATTTTAATTTAATAAACCTAACAGGATAATAATTAGTGAATCCAGATTATTTTAAATCTATTAAATGAGTATTAACCGCTTTATTTTGAGCGATTCACAAGAAACGTTTACAAAATTTGAAGAATAATGGAGTAAGAATTTCCTTCAAAACGCAGTTAATAGTTTTTTATTAAACACTCTGAAGCAACCTAAATACGTCCAAAGTTCAAAAGCGAACCTAGATAATTTATAAGTCAGTACATTGATCTATTGCAACTTTTGACTTCATTTATAGTTTGTGTATTTATAGTAGTGTTTTGCGGTAGGCAGCGGCTTGGCTCTGCCCCTGGCATTGCTGAAGTCCATGGGCGACGGTAACCACTCACCATCAGGTAGGCCGTATGCTCGTCTGCCTACAAAGGCAATTAAAAAAAAAATAGTATTTTCTAAATCAGTATGGTTTTAACAAATAGATTTGGTTATATCTTTAAAGCCTCGAAACCTCCGAAGGATGTACTTTTTGTATACACGGTGGAGACAACGGAAACATTTTTAATCGAACCACGGAAGATGTTAAAAAGCTACAGAAAAAATTACACAAGTGTAGTCAGTTCCTATTTATGCATTTACTCGTACCGATCCATAAGAAAATATTACTTAACGATGTTATTTAATTTCTTATTTTAGCTCTTTTACACATGTTGTGAGGGCTTATATGTCTTATATGTCTTTATTTAAGTTAACATTAGCATAACCATCATATCTGCGAAGGTCCGATGCAACTATTAATATTAATTACTATTAACTAACATACTTTGAGTTTTATTTTTCAGACTAGTTCAGTTCAGAAAAATGGCAAATAGGCGCACAAAATAATCAATAATTTTGATACTTTTAAAATAAAGTCTCGCGAGGCTTATCAATAACAATATTTTGAAAACAACAATTTATCAAGTTTTCGTTAAGATTTAGTACACATAAAATTTCTTTTGCGATTTATTTGAACACAAAAAAGTCCATTTAAAAATTGATTTGTTATGATTGACAAAAATGTCGGTAGAATACTTGTCTGTCAGAAAATAAAGAAGTTTTAAAAACTTATGTTTTATCATACACCAGAAGGGTAAATATTATGGACATGCAATAATAGGATAGCAATAAATGTAGAACATCATCGTAAAAGTAAATTGGCTAGTGGGTCCGAGCGCGATGCAAGATTACTTTTATGTCTGTCCTGGCTAAAGGATGAAGCTCTGAGGCTTTATACCCGTGCTGAATAACGTAGCCTTGTCTACATGCATGTACAGATTACAATGTTTTTGCGTTTGTAAACAATTCTAAAATTATGTAGGCGCACTCTCGTCTGCCGCGGCAATAAAAAAAATACATAGGAGATATTTACAAGTACCTAAATATTCCATTGCGGTGCTTAGCTGTGGTCTCTTTGTGTATTTGTGCCTTCAAACATCTCATGGATATTACCGGACTAATTCTGATTGTTATATACCTTATTTGTCTTCTTAGAGATCTGCTGATTTTTCAAAGTCCTAGCCTTTGCTGCTGCGAAGCTACCATGAGGTTCAGTTGGATTTGTTGGAAACCCGCAGACTCTGTTTACACTTCGCACACTTTTGAAGTCGTCGTAGCCTAAAGGATAAGACAATCGGTGTAGTCGTATCTTGCGATGCAGCGGTGTTCGAATACCACAGACGGCTATCAATTTTTATAATGAAATAGGTACTTAACAAATGTTCACGATTGACTTCCACGCTTTTGACGGCATTTCGGTTTAAAGGGTGGGGTAGCCGTTGTAACTATACTGAGACCTAAGAAGTTATATCTCAAGGTGTGTAGCAGCATTTATGTTGTAGATGTCTGTAGGTCACGGTAACCACCTAACACCAAGTCGGCTGTGAGCTCATCCATCAATCTATGCAATAAATAAATAAAAGCGCTTAAAGCAAATTTTAAGAAATACTTTGATTGTGATTAATTTCACACTAATTCAATAAACATCGATAAATAATACATAATTGAGTCTCGGTGGGGTGGTTGTGGTTTATTAATCGCGGTGGTACCCGGCCCGTCGCCTCGCACCGTGTGACCCGACATTGACGAGGGTAGTTCGACCATCAAATTTCGTACAAAATCTTTCTATATTTTATAACGGTTTCGATCATTCATTTTGCCAGTTTCTTCCAATTTCCATAGCACTCTATTTGTTTTTACTCTTGTAATGTTTTTAAGTATATTATGTTGCAGCAGATTTTGTAGTATTAATCCTATGGCACTTATAGAATAGAAAATAATTAAATATAGATGGCACCAGACAAAATCGGATCAAATGATAGGTTTCTACTGGTGTTCAATATTTTGAAGCCCATATAGATATTATAGATAACAACAAAACCTCTGAAATTGCATGATCTCCGGCATAAAGGAACCTACCTTTATTATCATTACCATTAACTCTTCGATCTCATTTTACAAAATAGGTAGCTGCGTTCACGTTCGGTAACCTATTATCACCAGATAAATCGTGCGTTCATCTTCCCATCTAGCGCATTGCAAACGTGAACGATTAACCATTTTGATATGCAATAATTCCGGAAATGTTAAAACATTTAAAATGAATGAAATGAAATTCTCAGTGAAAAATTACTTACAGAAGTATGTTTTTAACAAAACGACCCATCGGGGATCCAACGTACGGTGAGGTCAGTAAGTAATGGATTCAACATAATGAAAATATCGGTTGCGGAATTTCTTTCATCCGCCAGTACATGGAGGAATACTTTTGCAAGCTATTATTATATTCATTGAGTAAAAATACGATTGATTTTGAAGATTGTATTTTCTGGCTATCCGCTATATAGTTAAAAGAACGGTCCTTGATTAATAAATTGGCTCTTCCCATGAGGTTTCACAGCAGTAGGATGGATAAGCTTTTAAGCTTGTCTCGAGTTAGAATCATTTTTGTCGCTTTGGAAAACGGGCAGACACGTGCAAACTGCTATGGAACTTCGGCTATGACTGGGAAATGAGGAGCATCATCTTCTCCGATCTCATCTTTCTGTGGTACGCGGTTACACAATTTTTTTTTGTTGCTTAGATGGGTGAACGAGCTCACAGCCCACCTGGTGTTAAGTGGTTACTGGAGCCCATAGAAATTTACAACGTAAATGTGCCACCCACCTTGAGATATAAGTTCTAAGGTCTCAGTATAGTTACAACGGCTGCCCCACCCTTCAAGCCGAAACGCATTACTGCTTCACGGCAGAAATAGGCGGGGTGGTGGTACCTACCCGTGCGGATTTTTTGCGGATTCCATCTTTTTCGCGATTCTACATATCATACGACTGCTGCAGTGGCGCATTACATCATTGTTACTGACAACTTACAATAAACAAACAAATATATTTCCTTATAATTTACTCATTATAAATGATGTATTTTCTGTTTCGTTTGAGTTCGTAGAATGAGGTTTTCTCGTTTATCTCTCGACTTCCAGTTTTCGTTGTATCTGACAACTTGAATTGTATGCCTATAGCTTATTTATGGTTTAAAAATAGCTATTTACATATTCTCATAAAATTAATACAATTTTATTTATATGATTCGCAGGGCTTTTTTCAATGCGTGAATAGACGACTGAATGTGGCGTTATGGTTACTGAACATGACATTTACGTTTCGTTGTTCAAATAAAATAAAATATTCAAACGGTAGCTTGTTTCACTAACAATATAGTTAGTTACAATGTCGTTCGTGTGGATAAACTTAAAATATAACGTTATGACTTAATGGTTAATGTATGCTTAATCCTTTATGAGGCCTTTCGGGACCACTTATCAAAACTTAGTTTAGACCTAATATAAATACGGAATAGTTACACGGGAATGTTACTTAAGGAATCTTCGGATATATTTCATTTGTTTTTATTCAAACAATATTAAACTTAAAATAACTCGAAAATTGGTTTAGAGCTTTTGTAAGGCAAATTTATATACTAATATACATTATACATTATCACACTCTGACTTTTCTTTGCCAATCACAGATGTAAATTTATTTAATGAAATATCTCCTGAACGAATTGTTAAGGCTTCACAGCCTTCACAGCCACAGACAGAATATCACTATTCTATTATATTCTGCATTCTCATACTGAAGGCCAGACGAAGTAAATAAGTTTGAACATACTATGTACCAATTTTTTAGTAATCTCTCGTTGACTAGATATTATGACGACAATTTCTGAATTTTTTCTTTAATAAAACATAATAAATGCGGTGCATTTTCATATAAATTTCCATCAATAGATTCTTCTTTGGCTAGTTCAATTACATCATTACCGGCTATTCCAACACGTTAATGTATCCATTGGCAAGTTAAGTAAAGGCTGAAATATATTGCAGTTACAAAAAGCATTCCAAAAAAACAATTTAGTAAGTATTTCCAACAATACTTAATGTATATACTATCAATACAAACCGCTACGGGTTTCTTATTTTCACGTAACCAAGTTAGTTGAGAAGCCAAAGAGATCTCCAAGCAACGAATTCAAGAGCTTCTCTGGCACTTGACCTCTTTGATAGTGGTATCGGAAGGCGCACGTTCTTGGAACGAACCGTTATTCAATAAAATACGTGATCCGCAACCGATATCCATGTCGAAGTAAGGACGTAATGTATCCAGAAGACGCGTGTAAACGTTCGGAACTTGGCAATGATTAATGGCAGGCCCTTGAATCAACTCATTACGCTTTCTGCAAAACGACACTTCCTGGATTATATAAAGTTTTAAGGCTAATTAAAATGCCCGGGTGAAACTTTGGTGACATATAGAATGTTTCTTTTGTTTAAAAAAGTTATGTGACTAGCCAAGAATGGACTATGATGCTTTTTTCTAGTAGTAATAGTGGATGAGGGCTCTCTCTTTACCAGTATTAAAAGTTGTGGTAAATTGTATAAAAACTTTGAAATGTCACAGCGGTATCAATTTTTTTAAATATACCTTCTTCAAAATTAATGTATTGAATACGATATGTTTTAATAATATCAAATTAAGCATGTTTCTAGCCTATTTCTCAATTCCATTACTAAAAAACACCTACAATTAGTTTTTATTCACTTCTTGTAGGTGCGTTCATACTTCGACCAAAATCTCATCTCTACGATGTTGGTTATTTTTTTAACTGTGATTAATGAAATAAAAAGTACAGATTTACTTACAAAAAATTTTTTTATTGCTTAGATTGGTGGATCACAACAGCCCACCTGGTGTTAAGTGGAGATATAAGTTCTAAGGTCTCAAGTATAGTTACAACGACTGCCCCGACTGCCAAACCGAAACGCATTACTGCTTCACGGCAGAAATAGGCAGGGGACTCACAAGAGGTCCTACCACCAGTAATAGCATTTTAAAGACCTTAATCCTATGCTGTGGTGTATCTAATAATATTTTAAAACGTATTAACCGGATATCATGAAAGCCACAACGCTCTTGTCGTTGCCGGTCGCCACTAGTAGTTATCCAAATTAAGCCTTGTTCACTGGTTTTATTCATAATATATTCAGACGGGTACATTACTATATCATAAAACTATATCTAAAACCATTTGTTAATTAGCCGCCACAGCGAGTTCACTAGAGTGAACAAAGAGAAAATAGATGTTTATATGTGACCTGTACTTTACAGAAGTTAAACAAAAACGTTAAACGTTAAAACAACAACCCCATTGTGCAAACTATTGTATTATTTACACTAACATAATGAAGCGCTGGTTTCTGTACCGCCATATCCATCCTACATAACAAACGTTTCACCGAGTTTACAAATCTTTATTGTTTTAGCTCAGAAAAATTTAAATAAATCATTTCACTACATAGTATACAACAAAGTCGCTTTCTGTGTCCTTATATATGTCTGTCCCTATGTATGCTTAAATCTTTAAAACTACGCAACGGATTTTGATGTTGGTTTTTTTAATAGATAGAGTGATTAAAGAGGAAGGTTTATATGTATAATAACATCCATTAAATAGTGGAGAAATCAATAACAAATTACAGTTTCCGAAGCGAAGCGAGGGCGGGTCGCTAGTAGTTAATAGCCAGAACATTTTTGATTGAGTAGGCTATGATAACAAAACAACTTCTGGGCGCTGTACGCAAAAGCTCTCCACAAAATGATATAAAAAAAACTAAATTAGGACTTGAAAGCATTTTTATCACTTGCTTGGGCGTTTTCTTTTATCAAGAATATTTCGTAATTCTGATCGGATATACCAGGAGTAGGTTAACTGAATTTGCAACCTAAACTTTGTAAACATCCCAAAGAAAATATCAAACTTTTCGTTGTAGTAAAATGTTACCACTACTCTTTACAGTTCAAATAATTCACAACTTCGAAGAACTGGGACCAGTTGATGATTATATTGATGATTATAACGTGATGAACATAACTAAAAATTACTGGACTAATTCTGCAAAAAAATCTAACCTGGTCCTTTCAAAACAAACTTTGGATAGCTATCATAAAGAATTAAATAAATATGATAACTTTAAAGTTGACTGAATTATAGATGTGGAGTACTTATAGTTTTGGTTCAAATCCAAGTGGTTCATATTATAGTAAATTGGTTTGAGTTGCATGGAAGCAAATATTGGCCCCTTGCCAGCTTTTGGAAGCTGACTCAGCAAAACGATCGCCATCTATTGACATGTCTTGACGTAGATAGTTTCCCTTTTAAGTTGGTTGAGAAATTAGGACGACTAAATAGGTCAGGCCAGAAATATAGCTCAGGCTAACTTACGCTTCCATCGGCTTTAACTCTTTTATTGCATTCCTAAAATGCTTCTATTTTAACAGATAAATCATGCTTTTATCAGTTCTTTATATGTGTAAATCCACGTAACAGGTAGAAAACATATTAATATAATAAAATAAGAGATATTTTAATATAAGTTACATAGTTAAAGTAAAGTTACAAACTACATAAAGGTTTTTTTACATAAATAGTCAAAATGTTCAAATGATAATAGCTTATATCTTAAGAGTGATGTTTTAATTACATATTATATTAATTAAATGGATTTGTTAACGTAAAATGCCGTCCAATACTAGATATTATTAAATTTGTTTATAATTTTTTTTTTCTCCTATCGAGAACAATTTTTCAATGAAATTAAAATAATCTTAAGCTTAACAGAACTAAATCATTTTCGTTTGATTTTAGAGAGACAAGATTAGCAACAGAAGCTGTCTTATCAGGTGGTACAGAAAGGCGGGAAAGTGCACTCATGGCCAAATTTGCATTTCTAAACCTAGTTCAAGGCACAGATGGTAANGTTTATAATATTTTTTTTCTCCTATCGAGAACAATTTTTCAATGAAATTAAAATAATCTTAAGCTTAACAGAACTAAATCATTTTCGTTTGATTTTAGAGAGACAAGATTAGCAACAGAAGCTGTCTTATCAGGTGGTACAGAAAGGCGGGAAAGTGCACTCATGGCCAAATTTGCATTTCTAAACCTAGTTCAAGGCACAGATGGTAATAATATTTGGAGGCAAGTTGGGCAAGTAGAGGGTCGTAATGTTCGACTTCATACGATAGTTTGGCCGGGTGGAAGATTTGTTGCACATGGACATTCTGATGGAGCAAGAACAATATTTCGTATTGTCACGGCTCTTGCACCGCCTTTTGTAATGGAAGGAGAATTAGATGAAGACGGTCAATGTCTAAGAGGATTATTGTGTCATCGACCGCAAACGTCAGATCGTGATAATCTAACCCTTGCATTCAATGAATTAGAAAGGGACACTGATCCGGAGCCTGATGATTTTTTCTTTCCAACACCTAAACCAACTGTAACAAAAATGGCCACACATTGTTGTTACGGCTTAGCCATGGATCTTTTAGAAAATATTGCACAAGAACTTGAATTTGATTTCCATTTATACATTGTGGAAGACGGTGCCTACGGATCAAGACAACTTGTAAAAACTTTTCGCAGTTTCCACGAATATACTAGACCTACAGACAAATATATGACTTTGCACGATGAAAACTACAGGTCACAATATAGAAACGATTACACTATCTTACAACAGACGTCTGAGATACCGTTAATTTCCGATGACCTCGAAGATGAGGACGTAATGAAATGGAATGGGGTTGTAGGAGATTTAGTTTCTGGAGCTGCGCATATGTCCTTTGCTGCCTTAAGCGTCTCTTCAGCTAGAGCTGAAGTTATCGATTTTAGTCAACCTTATTTTTTTAGCGGTATTTCCGTATTGGCAGCTCCAAATCAAAGACCAGATATACCTTTACTAGCTTTTCTTTTGCCCTTTTCGCCGGAGTTGTGGATTGCAATATTTACATCGTTAAATGTGACTGCGATTGCCGTTGCAATATATGAATGGTTGTCACCATTTGGACTGAATCCGTGGGGTCGTCAGAGATCAAAGAATTTTAGTATTTCCAGTGCTCTGTGGGTGATGTGGGGGCTCCTGTGTGGGCATTTGGTAGCATTTAAAGCACCCAAAAGTTGGCCTAATAAGTTTCTTATCAACGTCTGGGGTGGATTTTCTGTAATATTTGTTGCAAGTTATACTGCAAACATAGCTGCACTTATAGCTGGATTATTTTTTCATAACGCTGTCGATGATTTTCAAGGAGGTGATAATGTGAGTAAAATAGTTATAATTACTTAGGTTCATCTTTATGCGATAAAATAATCATCACGAGATTGAATCGAAATACTATAATTGAATTAAACTTATACACTGTGAAGTGTACACTGTGACAAGTACTTAATCCATTTTGATTTCAGTGGCTTTCGCTTAAAGTGGGGACCGCAAGATCATCCGTAGCTGAATATTATGTTCAAAGAAATAATCCGCATTTGGCCCAGCAGATGCGTCGCTATGCCCTTCAGGATATCGAAGAGGGTATTCAACGGCTTAGGTCGGTATTATGGAACATTTATTTTGAGTATTTTAACGATTTTTTCTGGTATAAACCGGTTATCAGTTTATATTTTACTCATCTCTCAAGGTGAGTGGCGACATCCATATTGTTAAATTTACGATGCCTACTTTACCGTTAATTAGAGTCTAGTTTAAAAGATTGGAAGCCGCTATGTTGTAATGTCTATGAGCTCATCTTCCCATCTATGACAGCTAAATATGCAGTTTTACTTGTAAAATATCATTATTGCTATTTTCTAAATAATACAACATTCAATGAACACACTTCAGCGAAATGCTATTAACAGCTTTTTCGGCGAATTGACGATTTGAAATCTCACATTGACAACAGTGAATAACGATTTGGATGCTGTGACGAAACAATGGAAAACGGAACCGTTTTATGAACTCATAAAGTTTGAGGTTCTCCAATGGCCACTTTATTCTTTTATTAGATCTGCTTTATATTCCGATTTAGTACGCCGTTTTGCATTTCATCAATTAGACTATAAACTGATTTACTATTGGACTCATTTGATCCTCATTGAATCCAACATTTCTATATAAATCGACAAAGCAGCTCAGTAGCTTCTTATTTTCTGTTGACCAAAAGAATTTAAGTATTGTTTCTTTTGAAATTTGGTTTTGTGTCACTTTCATAAGAAAAAACTATCAATAATCAAACAAAAAACAAAATTAACCTTAAGCATGTCGTATAACAGTGTTTCCATCATTCGGCGAACAAAAAATATATTAAATTTTGTCTTAAATCGCCTTAAATCGTCTTAAATTTATTTATACCTCGATAAATTGCTAAGTTTGATTACAGAAATGGAACACTAGATCTCTTGATATCAGACACTCCTGTTTTGGATTACTATAGAGCAACCGATCATGGATGTAAGCTTCAACGTGTGGGCGGTCGTACTCTGGCAGAAGATACCTATGCTATTGGCATGACAAAAGGATTTCCATTGAAGGCATGTTTACAATTTGGTTTGGTTTATAAATTTTTAATCTGAGAAACATAAATCATTGTGTATACATAATTGTTATAGTACTTAAATTGAGGAACTTGACTTATATTTCCATAAGTGAGTGGTCGATTGCGATGGCTGAGTAGTGAAGACTTTTAGGATATAGGAGAGAAAGATTGATGGATGACGCACGCGAACCTCCTAATGGTGTGATCGATAGTAGGGTGTCATGTAACCCCGGCTCAGCCGATTATACGTCATTTTATCTTGACGTTGTTCAATATACCACTGAGGTTTACGTGGATCAGTGACATAAATCAACGGCTCAGAAATAATTTTTGTTCCGTCGGTGACGGCGCGTTTTCACAGAAACCCCTTTGTGGCACTTCGTCAATATACTAGACAAACGATCTCCTTAGTATCATATATTTTCGTTCTCGTTTATATAAAGTTATATTTTAATTTAAAATTGAATGTCTATTGTTGTCCGTTATAGAAAAAAGTAGCAATATTTAAATCTTTAATTGTTAGTTTCTCATTTAAATTAAGATTAATACAATCTTCACATTGTTAAGTAATCAATTATCGCGTCACTTTGTATCCCTTTCTCGAACCCAACTGCCTTGGTTGAGTTTTGTCTGATCCGAATTTCGGAGGTAGGTGGTTGAGCGACAGGGGTTTTTAAATAAAAAACTGAGTAATTAAGCCTTCTAATCATATAGCAGAGGTTAATATTTTTTTCACGAATCTGAAATTTTTGTATTTAGCCAATAGTATGTATAAATGATGCACATAATATTGTTTGACTCTGCAATAAAGCAATGGCCCATTCTGATAGTTTATGATTATATTAGATTTCTAATACAGTTGAGAATATTATGATGTTTCTCACGTTAATTGTGATCTCTCACCCCGCATTGGTCTTTTCATATGCTACTACATTCAAACAGTACTACATTCAAAATATATTTTCACAGGACAGTATATCTTCAGTTATAGCTAAGTATTCGTCGAATGGATATATGGACATATTAACTGAAAAATGGTACGGCGGTCTACCTTGTTTTAAACTCAGCCCAGATTATGGCATTCAACCGAAACCTTTAGGTAAGTGATAAAACTGTTACACAAATTTCTAGAAAAAATAATTAATGGAGGCATTTCAGAATTTTTTCTCATGATTTGTATACGTTTATTGTAAGAAAAGACTTATTCTTAATCCGAGAAAGAGTAAACGTTTTAAATTTGGATAGGACAACTTTTACTAGAACAGACAGTTTGTATATACTTAAGAATTATAAGGTTATCGAAGTTAGTATGTTTGTTTTTAAGTTTTCTCTTAAGATATTTTTCAAAGTACGTATTATTTTAGTTAGAATCTTAAACCAAAGAAAATTTAATTACATGTCACTACTTTAGTGTGTATTCGTTCTCACGTATCCATATAGTCAGATGGCTCGTCTCTGGCGGAAATTTCATTAGAATTTATCGCCATCCCTACGTTAATCCGCCCCTAGCGTCGCGCGGCGAGGGAAGCGGTATTACCACCGACCGACCTAAAAGATTAAACATGGGATTTATCGTTTGAAAAAATGAGCCGACACCAAGACTATATTTACTTTTTCAGAACAAATTCGCAGCCTTGTTAACAATAAAACAGGATTATATAATATTAGATAACTAATTGCAATAGACTAAGAATCAATACAAATCTGTAAATGAAGTAAAATAAATGTTGAGTGTTTTCGATACGAAGCTCTCAACTGCAATGGGTTAACTTCACTTTTTATGATGGCAATAAAATTGTACCATCCCGATCTTTTCTAGAATACTAGCTGCTTCTACAGTACAAGCTTTTACAGCTGTTAGATATTGCGAAGAATGTCTCGTATAAAAGTTGAAAGTTTGCAATATTGCAATTACTGCTTGTTCAACTTGGATTTTGTTTCAAAAATTTATTTAAGTCAAACTTAATCGTCAAAAAATATCTCCGATGAATAAGTATTCTGGAAACTTTTGGGGATTTTACGAGCTGAACACAAACGTTAATCTGTTACGTATCACGTAAAGGAAATAAGTAATGTTTTCTAATTTAAAAAAAATATTTTTTCCTATTTAAATCCTTGTTTAGATTTCACTAATCTACGTTTTTATTTCATAGTAAAATTTTCCGCTAATGAAAATTAATTATACTATTATACTATACATTTTCGCTTGATAAAATCTGTATGCTTAAATGGTGTACGAAAAATAATATTAAAAACGTTATTAACGATACAATGCTAAAAAAAATCAGGTTCGACCTTCAGTTTGTATGATCAATCAACGTAACATGCCACTGGACATCTAGCAAATTGCCGATTTGATGGATTACATAATAGAGCCTGTACATCGTAAGCACCGAACATGAGTTAATACGAAAGGAATTTCTTTGTAACGGATCAAACGGCATCGATATAAAATAAAAAGAAAAATATGAGCGCAATATTTCCTATTGAAATCCGATTGGCTTTTATTTATGAATCCTAACAAATTTATTATCATCTTTCGGAAATCTTGACAGGGTTGAGCTCAGTTGTGTTCTATTTTAATCAAACAATGAAAGACATGTCAAAGACAAGTAAAGCCCTCTGCTATTGCTGAAATCCAGGAGACGGTGACTACCTACAATTAAGCCAAAAAGGCAAAAAAACATTTTTCATTAACAAATTACATTATTTAATAGTTCAACATTAAACATCCTTAATACAATCATAAATGTGATTCTAAAATTTGATTCGCGGAACTGAATTCAAAGAAAATGAACATCAAAAGGAAAGAAAGAAATAAAGTAACAATTTAATTGCCTCCTCTGTTTTGCAAGAAGAATTCACTTATGAATTATTAAGTTAAATTTTTTAGGGACTGCTACCATCAAATATTTTTTAGCGCTTAATATTGTTTTAGGTGTGGCGGCTGTGGCTGGTGTTTTTATTCTTCTTGGAGTAGGAATGATCGTTGGAATTATCATTTTGATTTTCGAACATCTGTTTTATAAATACACTTTACCTATATTAAGGCATCAACCGAAAGGAACAATCTGGAGGAGCAGGAACATTATGTTTTTCAGTCAGGTATCTTTGAGATTATAATCATGTTCACATTCCACATCAAAGATACCATCTCTTTGGGCGCTATATATAATGTTTATTTACTAATCTATATCTAGTTTTCATATTATGGTCACCAGAATACGTTGCTCGTTTTATTGTATACGGTTTTTGTACGGATCTACAGTTTAAAGATACTTTGTTTGCCTTATTCAAGCGCGAAGCCAAGATGGCTTCTTGTGGGATTAAGTCGACCGAACAACGCTCCACATCGGATTTTAACACTGAAAGAGCTCTTGTCTTGGCCGCATAATCTCCTCGGATTGCATTTCCAACACTTGTAGTTCGTGCGCTTTATTACGCGCAGCTTTACCATTTGTATATTTTTTCAGAAACTATACCGATTTATCAATTGTGTTGAATTGGTATCGCCGCACCATGCCGCCCGAGAATTAGTCAATACAATACGCCAAGGTCATTTCACTTCTCTGTTCCAAAAGAGCGTTAAAAGGGTATGTTATTTACCATTTTTAATTCAAGATTACTTTAATGTTAATTTCAAATAATAAAAAAAAACGAAGTTCGTTTCACATTTTTTTTTATTTATTGCTTAGATGGGTGGACGAGCTCACAGCCCACCTGGTGTTAAATGATTACTGGAGCCCATAGACATTTACGACGCAAATGCGCCACCCCACCTTGATACCTTACTAAATCATGTAATATCAGATTACGATAGGAGAGAACGTTTGTTTCAGAAGGAACATGAACAGCGCAGGCGTCGTAAGAGTAAAGCGCAATTGTACGAAATGATTCAAGCGATTAGAAGGTAAAAGATACATAATTTTTTTTCTTCATATTGGTGTAAAATAACATTCTAATTCTGAATTTCATTTATTGATAGAGTACAACAACGGGATCACTCTTTGGGGTCTATTAAAGAACAAGAGCCAGTTGATACATCTGAGACAACAGAAGAATTAACTGAATCAAAGTTTTTATCCCCGTCACCCGACACATCGCACCGTTCACCAAGACAAGGTCGTTCACCTCGACAGCTTCGTTCGCCTAAAGGTCGTCGAAAAAGATGCAGTCTCGCAGGATTAAACGTTAGGAGATTTAGTACCGATTCAGTGTTGGGTTCAGATTCTGTTTCCAATATTTATGAGAGAACTTGCCACAACATAGGCAGACGACTTAGTCGAGATGTCAGCTGCTTAACAAATTCCCCTCCAGATTTAAACACCCGACTGCGAACACCGTCTCCGATGATAAGACGGACCGAAGCTTCTTCAACCCGTTCTTACCAAGACGTATCTTTAAGATCCGAAAATTATGTTAGCACAGATGCTCCAACGTCTCGAGCGAGTATAGATATTTTAATTTCTGATGAACATGATATACCTCCTGCGCCACCATATCCTAGAGTTTCTCCGGCGGGAGCTCGATCCGAACTTTCCTTACTATCTGAAGAAGAGTTGATTAGACTTTGGCGAAGTTCAGAACGCGAAGTCAGAGAGGCTTTATTAGCAGCACTACAAGAACGACGGGCGAACTTAGATCCCAAAGAAGATCCGGGATGAATAGAATTATCTATGCGAGACTTGGAATGGTACAGATCTGTAGAGGATTTATTTGTGAATCTCATAGCTTTTCGATTTGAGGGAAGTAACGAGTTATGGATATGTGCCCGTGGGGGCTGAGCTAGTGCCTTTTTATATTGTTTGATGCGGACACGCCAATTAGCGTTTGTAGATTAGTAGATAGTCAATCGGTGTTCATTTCAGTGTCTTGAATCGTTGTCGTGTTTGAGATATCTACATTTTGTTGTTATTTCAGTATTTTATCTGCGTCAAACAATTTAAACTATGGTACTGGAGAATTAACTTTTTTGGGGTCGTTAACGTCCAGACTAGGTTGTAGTTAAATTTGGCACTATAAATAATGTTACTGATAAAACTTATTACAAAGTGAATAATAGCTATGATCAGAAAATTTGAAGTGCTTTAATAATAATTAGTACTAATTATATCTAAAGGAATACGTTTTTATAGTTTGTCAACTAAACTTGTAGGTGTTAATAAATTGATATGTGTGTTTTTATATTTATGAGTTATGTTTAGTTCTTGGGTTATACCGAGAAAATTCTTCATGATAATTGTATGGTATTTATATAACTCAAAAGATAATTATATATTATGAAATTGAAAAAAAAGCACGTTCATGTCTTATTTAGTTCGACTAAAACGTATTTATCAAAGTTAAACTCCTTGCTCGTATTTAAATTTAATTATTTGAATAATGAAAGGCTATTGATAATGATTATTGGTGACAACGCGAATTAATAAATGTTTAAACTTCAAGGTTCTAATAGTATTCATTCCTCCAATATTCTATAATATCTATTTTATAATGTGAAAATGATAAAGTTTCAAAATAACATATTTGATGTTAATATATTAACATAACTTAGCTGAAATATAATTAACTGCCAAGCGTATTTAAAAATATTTCCTGACTAGAAATTCAACACTTCTTCTTAGATTCGCACCTCGTAGTTTTTAGTTTAGTCTTTTTCCCTTTTTCTATAAATATACTTACTATAAGTACTTAATCATTTAAACTGCTAAGTCTTAATCCTCTTTTCATCCTTTCAAACACTATACATAACTAATTCATTCTAATTTCTATTTTGATTTAATATTATGTATTCATTCATTGTTAATATAAAACAATATAATATATAGTTACTTTTACTTTTTGTGTAGGATTGAGTGCAATAAAGGCCTACATATGAAATAATAGATTTTATTTCAATTTAGATTTACTATAGCGTGTGTTTTAATAACTTTTTTATGATTTATATTTTTAAAGCAAACAAAACGATTTCGTAATCTCAGAACAGGTTATTGAAGCAATTTGAATTATTAAAATTTGGACCAAAATTTGTTTTATGAATTTAGGTTAAATGAATTTTAATTATATGAAAAAAAATTTAGATAAAATCTATTGGATGTGATTCATCTAGTGATATACAAAGTCTTATGCATTTCTCTCTTTAGAGTAGTAGGCGTCTACAAAATGAAAATTATAAAATTGATTTATCTAGATAAAAATAGGAATAAAGATACATAATCTAAGGGTTATTATTATTATCACGTAAACAAAATAAGTTGCCTTGGAACAATTAATTCAGATTGGTTGATATTATAATGAAACTGATACTAGTACGAGTATTGTGCTCTTAATTATTGTTTGGTTTCATACATATATAGGGCGCAAAAAAACTTTTGGATTCAACTAAGTAGTTAGTTATATTTTTGGTTACTGTAATTTTATATCAATGCTAATTGAAATTCGTGATCACATTTAATTCACCGTTTTCAATTTGATGTTTTGGTCAGAAAATAATTATACACAAATAAAAAAAAAATGATAGTAACAAACATGAAGTATTCTAGTTATAAATATATGTTGATGTAAGTTGATGATACAAATATACCTATTAAAAAAAGTTCAACACTAAATGTAGGTACCGAAGCTAGGACTTCATTCAAGAACAAGTACATTTTGACAGTGAACACCAAATATCTTCAACAAAGATACTGATACCTACCGAGAAGCAAATACGTACTGGCAATAAAAATATCCTAAGGATAGTTTTGAATCTCGTTTGGTTTTGAAAGCCTTGAATAAATGTCCAATGCAAAGGTATAGCACGACGCTTTCACTTCGGTAATTTGAAAGTACAGAGGCTTTGTTTAGGCGCTGCTCACTGGTGAAACTAATCACGACGAAATATTTATGACTAGATTGGAAAGGCAGTTGGTGTTCATTTAGTTGGTATATTTTGAGATTTAATTATTGTAGCTAGAAGTTGAAGCAATTATTACCTAAAAACTTATGATTGATAATCGCGTCTGAGATACACTTTGTCTTCGTATTTTCAAGTCACCAATTAATTTCCTTGGAAATAGTCAGTTAATCGATTAATCAATAAATATCTTGTAGTAAGTGATTGTAAATAAATTTATTAATGTTTTAAATGAAACGCCAATTTTAATGTTAGTAATTTATTAGAAAATAGCATTAGTTCGTAAATTTTAATGTATTTAACGTGAATGAATTGATATTTAGATGCAATACGTTTGCATAAGATAAGGCGGTGTCAAAAATTATGTGTGGGACAGCATTGGAAATGTTCAATTGTTGGTTTTCACCTTGAATTGTATGTATGTACCAATGTTTCCATTGTTTTCAAATTTAAACTCATACCTAAATCATTCCTGTGATTTTTAACTCAATTAATAAAGTACACAATTTTAACAATGGATGTCCTACTTTAACTTTAAACAATTAAATAGATGAATAAATAAAATATTTGCGCCATCAAATTGTTTTATTGCCTCGTAAACCTTTTAAGACTAAACTAACGTTAGGTAGTTAAAATAAAAATAAAACACAACTGAACCTCCTGTGAGTCTGCGCGGGTACTACCACCCTACCTATTCCTGCCGTGAAGCAGTACTGCGTTTCGGTTTGAAGGGTGGGGCAGCCGTTGTAACTTGATAATACTTGAGACCTTAGAACTTATATCTCAAGGTGGGTGGCGCATTTACATTGTTGATGTCTATGGGCTCCAGTAATCACTTAACACCAGGTGGGCTGTGAGCTAGCCCACCCATCTAAGTAATAAAAAAAAATTAATACAAGAACCAAACAATTTCAATTCATTAAAGATTCCAATTTTGGACTGCTAGTCAAAAGTCAAGGTTAAATCATAATTTTTTAACCTTGCGTCTCAAATTGTGAAAAACGACTAAAATCAAAAGGGTTATTGTCAATGTAAGCTCAAGATCACATCCTCTAAGGCAAAAAAAAAACAACGTAGCCTGTATTGCAAGTATTGTTGTGATATGAACTTACTTAGTCGTGTTTTGGCCTTCTCGTGAGATAAAAGTGTGCATACGGTGCTTCGATTCGCATAAAAGCAAATGCAGTGATTTCACAACAGAGTTTCGTGACTTAAACAAAATGAAATTTCTATTCGTGACCGTGTTTCTAAGCGTTTATGCCAGATCTGTGATTTCGTTGTTCTGTTATTGGAATACCGGCTGTCCATATAATTATTTTTCTAGCAGAACTCCATATAATGCAGCCAGAGGGGATATAAGAGACTCAGTTATCAAACTTACCGGTAGGATTTTTTAATTTTTTTTAAATATTATATATACTAAAGTATGTATATAATTTTAATAATTCAATTCAAATTCAAAATCAAAATCATTTATTTCAACTTAGATGTCAGTGTAACACACTTGTTGAATGTCAAAATATTTAATAACAATGTTAACTCTACCACCGGTTCCAAAAAAAGCCACAGTCCTGAGAAGAACCGGCGAAACAAACTCAGCGGGCTTTTTTTTTGTTTTTTCTCAAATATTTTCTTTTTTTTTTTAAATAAGTTTTTTTTAAGTAAATTTTTAATACATGTGATATGCTATGCAAATCTGTTTGTCAAATTCGTTTTAGGAAATTTGCATTAATCCTATATAGATAATAATATGTATATGCGCTAAATTGGCTGATGACCTTGGTCTCGGGTGACTATTGGAGCTTATAGACTTCAAAAACGTGATATTTTGACCTCATGTCACTCCTCTAGAGACCAGTTGATAGCAGTATAACCGCTTTGCGGCAGGATGATAATACCTGTTAGTACGTTATATTTTTCACACCAGTAACTAAAAATTGTTAAAATTTGGGGGTTTCGTTTATATAACAAAGCTATTCCGTCATTAAGGATACCGTTTTCGACAATAGCTAGGGACATGTCTTATACATCTTAGAAAAAATTGTACTTGTCTACAGAATTCGAATGCTGACATAGTTCTATCGATTAGTAGGTAGGTACGTAGATTATTTTAAATTTGATGATTTGTATTGATTTCTTAAAATTATAAAAAATAGTTTAAACTTTTTGTAATGTGATTTTAGTTTAGTCATAACAGAGATGGGCCGATCTAGAGCCATAACGCCATAACATGAATATTGCTGTCAACGATCTAGTCTCAATGACATTGGAGTACCTATCGATTACTCTAACCTTAAACCTGCATTTATGATTAATAATAAACAAAAGTTAATTAAAATTTAAAGTCACAAAATTAAAACCAGACTTTTTCTTTTTTATTTCATTTTAAAAACCAAAAACCTAATCATCAAAATTAAACATCACAGTTTCATGTTTCAGATTGTGAACCAATAAGTATTTGGGGTCTTGTAAGACATGGTAAAAGGAATCCTGGTGCAGAATTAGCATTGACTATGAAGAATGCTATTGTAATCAGAGAATACGTTGTATCTAGTTATGAGAATGGAAACAGCTCATTATGCGCGCAAGATATCGAAAATTTGAGAGAATTGGGCGCTGATTATGGCATGTTCGAAAATGCATATCAACTCTCTGAAGAAGGTTATCAAGAGATGATGGATATTGGTAAAAGATTTAAACAAGCTTTTCCTAAATTATTGAACAAACTGGAAAGTCAGAGCTACACTTTTAGACCGGCTTTTGGCAACTGGATGCAAAAAAGTGCTGAAGGATTCGTAAATGGACTCGCTAATGGTAACTTNGGCGCTGATTATGGCATGTTCGAAAATGCATATCAACTCTCTGAAGAAGGTTATCAAGAGATGATGGATATTGGTAAAAGATTTAAACAAGCTTTTCCTAAATTATTGAACAAACTGGAAAGTCAGAGCTACACTTTTAGACCGGCTTTTGGCAACTGGATGCAAAAAAGTGCTGAAGGATTCGTAAATGGACTCGCTAATGGTAACTTGGACATTGAAAAGGCTACTACTGATTTTGACATTATGGATGTGAGTAAAAGTAGAATTAATATATTACAGTTATTAAAAGCCGTTACAGTTAAAACCTAGACCTAAATAACTGAACTGACTGAATCGTTCATAAGCCAATATTTGTAACAAAAAAAAATGATTAAGATAATGATTCATGAGATCATTCTCCTGAAGATGTTATATGGAAGCTGAACATAGAACTTACTTAATGTTAAAACGTTACTAACTTCTTTAGAAGACCCGAATTAAACGATACGCCACTCATTTTGAAACCTGATGTGGTTATGGCTATGATGCTCTTGGTTCTTATTGAGTAATAGTTAACTTACTCTTTGAAACGATATGTATTATTGCTTTAGAAAAGAATGGATATAGGCCGGTAGGTTATACAAATTTTGTATGTCTGTCACTAGCATATATGAGCACCTAGAGAAATTAAGTGAGAACAAAGATAAACTCCAAAACAATATTTAATTCTTATGATTTGAAATTGACCGGACCAAACTGGTCAGATTAATTATGTGTGAATATAGTTAGAATTATCAAGGTGTGGAATGCTTACTTCTATAAAAGTCTTTTGGTTTAAATGCAGAAATGTAACAAGCTTTTAAATATTTTATTACAGCCTTACACAACATGTGGCAAATATCAAAGAGACGTAAAAAAGAATCCTGAGATATACCTCGAATCAAATAAATATTTGGAAACAACGGAATTTTTGGCTGTAAGTAATTATGGAAGCAAGTTATGTATTTGGTAATGATTTGACTATATCTCCGGCATCGTCAATACCCACCGACGACGATAACCACTTAACATCAAATTAGACGTGTACTCATCTGCTGATGGCATGAAATATCACAATAATAGTAACAATACTTCCTCAGAGATCAGTTTTTAAATGGTCCGTTTATTTCAGACAAAAGATAGAATTCAAAGGAGATTGGGAATCGATTACCCATTAACAAATGAAAACATATCGGCTTTGTATGACCTCTGTCGATACACTTGGTCAAGCAAAGACAAAATGAGCCCATGGTGTGCATTATTTACGACTGAGGATCTCAAAGTTTTAGAATACGCAGGAGATCTGAAACACTATTACAGAAACGGTTATGGAAACTCAATTAACGCTCTTTTAGGACAGATTCCATTGAGTGATTTATTCAAAAGCTTTCAATTAGCCAAAGATGGAAAAGGAAAGAAGATAATAGCTTATTTCACTCATGCAACAATGATGGATATGTTGTACACGGCCTTAAATTTGTTTAAAGACGATGTTGAACTAACTGGTGCACTTAGAAACCCTGACAGAAAATGGAGAACTAGTAAATTGTCCATCTTCGGAGCAAATATGTTTGCAGTACTCAACAGGTTTGTTAATATTTGAATGATTTCAATAGATGTATCAACAATGCTATTAACTGGTATTCATTTATTGAAGGTGAGTGAGTAAATAGCCGGCAGTAAGGGGCTACTGTCGATTACGGATGTCCGTGTCAACATATTTATAGAAACAGGTAGAATCTTACCGCGTAAATAATAAAAAGTGAGAAATTTATTCATTGTGATGTATGCAAACATTTTCTTAATCCCAAAATGAAATTACTAATTTAATTTTCCCAAAATTAAATCACTATTTTAATTTTGGGATTAAGAAATGGGATTAAGAAAATTAAATTACTAATTATTTTATAATTATTTTTTTACTAACTAGAGGTACTTCTTTATTTGTTTTCTAGGTGTAATAGAGAAAACAAAACGGACTACAACGTTGTTTTTTACTTAAATGAAGAGCCACTGAAACCAATTTGTGAACAAGGAGTGTGCACATGGGAGGAATTCGAAAACAAGTTCAAAACAATGAACTCCAACACGGATATGTGTCAATTCAAAAGTGTACCATACATTTAAACCACTTTAATTTAATTAAAGAAATTAAAATATATCATAAAAAAAATTAAAACCGATTTTTGTCTTGTGAATGAAATTCCTAATCGTTTTAAAAGGTTATCATCATTCACTTTAAAGGTTAAGACTGCCTACTAGAGGTAGCTTAGAAAGTCGTGTAATAAATGTTATTTTATGTCGTAACTCTTGCTAGTTCCTGGATACTTTTTTATTTTGTTACATAGTTAAGTTCGTACATTTGTCTGCGTATCATTATCCTAAAATGTCACAATGAAATTCGTTAATAAAATCCGTTTCGTAAATTGGCCTTGTCTTTTTCTGTCTACATATTTACCATTTAAGTATTATTAATCGCGGTCCATAACAAGTCTTCGATATTGAAATTAACATATTTAGCATATAATCGCATTATAGTGACTAGCTTCTTCAGCAGATCACTTGTGTTTTTATGAGAACATTTAAAGCGAAATTCAGTGCAAGATGAAATTAAAACTTTCCACGTTTATTTTGTTATTTTGTTACGACTACGTACATTCATCATTCTGTTACTGGAACTCTGGTTGCCCTTACAAGTTTTTATCAAGTTATACGCCCTATAGTACGATTAGAGGTGATATACGAGATTCGAATATCAAAATAAAAGGTGAGTTGAAAGTTTTTAGTAAATACCTAAAAAATTATAATATCATGCACAGCTTCTATAAAACATTTTCATAGGATGTGAACCGATTAATATATGGGGTATAATGAGACACAGCAAAAACTATCCATTAAAAGAGTTTGGAAAGAGTATAGAAGAAGCGTTAACGATACGAGACCTCGTCATTTCAAGTTATAATTCAGGAAACAGTTCAATATGTTCTCAAGACATACAAAATTTAAGAAACTGGAAATTAAATAACATCATAATTGAAAACGCAAATGATTTAACAAGCGAGGGACAAGAAGAGATGCTAGAATTTGGGAAAAGGCTTCAAAATGCATATCCGACATTATTAAATAGCCTGGAAAGCCATTACTCTTTCCGATCTACTCCTGATAAAAAGACCGAAAGTAGTGCAAAGAGTTTTGCCGAAGGATTGAAAATAGAAAACTTTGATTTGGAAACATCGAAAAATAATGACGACATTGTATTTGTGAGTTATTTACTTTATTTGTTTTTCTCTTCTTATTTCTTGAAAATATTATATAAATACATATTAATTATGTTGTAGCCACTGCACACTTGTTTGAGAAATAAAGAGGAAGCTGAAAAAAATGACAATTATGTCCAAGTCGTTAAATATCGTAACAGTCCTGAATATTTGGCGGTAAGTAAGTATGTAGTACCTATTCATTTTGAAATCCGTAAAATAAACTTCACCATGGACGAACAAATACTTTAATAATATTAATAGGTATATAGACACCAATATTAACTCTAATACTACTCTGGTAAAACCCATCTAACCCAAAGGTCACTTAAATTTTTGTTTTATTATTTTAGGCAAAGGACAGATTACAAAGGCGTCTTGGTATTGATTATCCTTTTACAAATGAAAACATAAAAACTTTATATGACCTATGTCGTTTTGGTTGGTCTGGACTTGAAATAAAAATAAGTCCTTGGTGTGCATTATTTACGACCGATGACCTAAAAGTCCTTGAATACATCGAAGATTTAAGGTACTATTATGGAAGCGGTTATGGTGATTCTTTAAATATAAAGCGAGGACAAATCGCGTTAACAAATTTGTTAGATAACTTCGAAAATGCAAAGAGAGGTGTTGGTAAAAAGATAGTCACGTATTTCACTGACGCGGCGAAAATAAATGAAGTTTGCAGTGCTCTTCATCTTTACCGCGATGAAAATCCTCTCACGGGCTCTCGAAGGGATCCCCACAGGAGGTGGAGGTCTAGCATACTGTCTGCTTTTTCAGCAAACTTGTTTGCAGTATTAAATAGGTATGTGAGAGTTATATTTTATCAACAATAAATACTGGTTGGTCATTACTGGTGGTAGGACCTCTTGTGAGTCCGCGCAGGAAGGTACCACCGCCCTGCCTATTTCTGCCGTGAAGCAGTAATGCGTTTCGGTCTGAAGGATAGGGCAGCCGTTGTAACTATACTGAGATCTTAGAACTTATATCTCAAGGTGGGTGGCGCATTTACGTTGTAGATTTTCTATGGGCTTTATTAACCACTCAACACCAGGTGGGCTGTGAGCTCGTCCACCTATCTAAGCAATAAAAAAGTTCTAGTAGAACAAATTTCGAATGTAATAATTCAAAATACAGATTAATTATCCATCTCTGTAATAAAATAAACCATAATATCTTCTAAAACAAACATTTTTAAATTTCTATGTATTTGGGAATCATTCCTTTTTATTTAAGGTTAGATAAATTAAATTAAATTAATACGGTTTGTTTTGAAATGATGGGTTTCAATATTATTTGTGTTTACAGATGCACAATAAAGAACGAGCCTGATTACAATGTTGTGTTCTATTTGAACGAGGAGCCGCTGAGATCAGTTTGCGAATACGGTGTTTGTTCTTGGCAAGAGTTCGAAAATAAATTGACGCCATTTTTAAATGTCACAAAAGATGTGTGTTAAATATAAAAAGAAAAAACCGAGAATTATTCAACTTGTATTTGAAAAATAGCATACACTACAATTATATTTTTGGATTCTTAAATACAGATTTTTATTTTTAAAAGTAATAGATGTTAGATATTACGAAATACGTATATGTATTAATAAAATTATTGACTAATTTTCTAGTAAATTTATTGCTCATTAGATCCGTGCCTGTGGATATCAACCAAATGCATGACATTATGCACGTTAAGATCTTATTTTTTTATGACATAACCGCAGCCCTGACCTTCAAACCGGAGCCACTGACTGTTTCTCGCCAGAAAAAAATAAGATGGGGTACCGTACCTCCTTTTACGTACTTGCAACATACCCTAGAATCAATAAAAGAATTCAAGTGAAAACTTGAATTAAACATTTATCATCAGTAGCACATAGTTCATTTTTGCTTGAGCTTAATTTGTAGTGAATAAAATACAGCTCTCACAAGATTTTAAATGTTCATGTTTGATTGCAAACAATACGTTTGTTGCATTCAAAATGTTGAATGTCATTACTAGTGTTGTAATACTTTTACGACATGTCTGTATTACGTTTTGCTATATTTTTTAGTATAATTGTATTACGATTTCAAAATCGATTACGTTTTTCAGTAGGTGTAACTACGTATTGCATTATGATTTTAAATGACTGTATTACAACTAGCGTTGCTGAGCAGCACGTCATTTATATGATCTTGCATAAAAACTCTTTTTATTATTAACTTATTATGAAAAGCTACTATAACCGAATAACATATATTTAGTCTGGCCATAAATACTGTTACAATTAAATAAACAAATATTACATTTGAATTTGGAATCTATCATTTTATATGAGTGTACATTGAGTTTTCTCATTTTGGCGCCAATACATTGTGCAATATTTTGCGATATTAAAACGGAGTGGGGTGATCAAGAGAACCAAATCGCTGTGATTGCATTACACAAAGTAGGTATGGAGCCAAATGCAATTTTTAAAACTCTCCATACACTTGGTATTAATAAAATGTTTGTGTACCGGGCTGTTAATAGGTACAATCAAAAAGGTATCAAAGGTATCAAAAGGTAAAACATCAGCATAAGTGTATCAAGATACCATTCATGAGAAGGTAGCGAAGCCCCTTAATAACACCATGTTCAATAACCAAGAATAGTCCTTCCAGCAAGACTCGGCGCCGGGCCATAAAGCTAAAGCAGAGCTGAAGACTGGCCGTCGTCTAGTCCCGACCTTAATCCGCTGGACTATGATTTATGGTCAGTTTTAGAGAGTACGGCTTGCTCTAAACGCCATGATAATTTGAAGTCCCTAAAACAATCCGTACAATTTGGCAGTGAAAATTTTTACCATGGAAAGAGTGCGTGCTTCTATTGATAAATGGCCTCAACGTTTAAAGGACTAATGCAGCCAATGGAGACCACTTCGAATAAGCTTATTATAGCATATTTTAAATTGTTTTATATTTATGTATTAAACTAAAACACTTTAAAAGTAATAAATGTTATTTGCAATTTTTTTTTTCTTTGTTTCATTATTTACGGCAAGACTAGGTATATACTATAACCGAATAATAATAATAATACTATTATAGTATATCTTCGCGATCTTTCGTAGTATTTTCTTTCGCCATCTTTTTCGCGAATCTTAAACATAAATAAAAATAGTTTTTTTTAGATATACTAAGAAATACTTTTATAAAAGTATACAATAGCTTGTATAATAAAGGCTTAAGGCAAAACACTGTGATACTTTGATTTAAAATATAATGTTCTTACCGAATCGTGCGCAAACGCACCAGACAAAATATATTTAAATAAAGAAAGACACGCCAATATTTTTATAAATTTAATAACGGGCAACGTAAAATTTTTTTTACATCACTATTACTATTATAACAAAGAAAAATAATAAAACTTTATAAAAAAATGTAAGATAAATAGCTTAGGTAAAACTTTGCTCGTTTCACACAATCGCTGGTTCACAGGTTGCTTTACTCAAAGTTGTTATAAAACGTAAATGTCACTTGTTTGTTTGACCTTAGACTCATCTGTATCAAAATAAATTGAATAAAATCAATGACAAAGCAAGGTGTCAATTACTAGGCTGCACTAAAAGTATCGGGAATGGAATATTTCCACTGTTCCTGTCATATTAAAATCTTTTTAATTGAAAACTCCTTGGTTTTAAAAATCGAATACCATTTATTTATTTAAAAAAAGATTCTCGGTCTTGTCACGAGGTTTTGTCACGAGTCGTTGAGAAAATGGAATTGACTCGAGAAAATTCAAGAGCGATGATTTATTATGACTTTCGAAGTGGTTTAACACAAAAACAGTGTGTTGACCGGATGATTTCTGCATTTGGTGATGAAGCCCCATCCAAAACCACAATTTATCGCTGGTTTGCTGAGTTTCAACGTGGACGTATCAAGCTCAGTGATGATCCCCGTCAAGGTCGTCCAAAAACTGCAGTCACCCAAGAAAACGTTGATGCTGTGCGTAAGCTGATTGAGGAAGATCGACATGTGACATACCGCGAAATTCAGGCAACTTTAGACATTGGCATGAGTCAAATACAAACAATCTTGCATGAACAATTAGGTGTAAAAAAGTTGTTTTCCCGATGGATACNGTGTCAAGCTCAGTGATGATCCCCGTCAAGGTCGTCCAAAAACTGCAGTCACCCAAGAAAACGTTGATGCTGTGCGTAAGCTGATTGAGGAAGATCGACATGTGACATACCGCGAAATTCAGGCAACTTTAGACATTGGCATGAGTCAAATACAAACAATCTTGCATGAACAATTAGGTGTAAAAAAGTTGTTTTCCCGATGGATACCGCATTCGCTCTGTGAAGAGCAAAAAGCGGCTCGCGTTACTTGGTGCGGCAGAACTCTCGAAAGATTCCGCGTAGGATCCTCAAATGCTGTATACAACATTGTATCAGGTGACGAATCCTTGATATACGCGTACGAACCCGAAACAAAAAACCAGTCACGAGTTTGGGTGTTCGAAAATGAGTTAAAGCCAACAAAAATTGTTCGTTCACGGAGTGTTGCAAAAAAAAATGGTGGTCACGTTTATCTCCAAAACCGGCCATGTTACGACTATTCCTCTTGAGGGACAAAGAACGGTTAATGCAGAATGGTATGCTAGCATTTGTTTGCCACAGGTCGTTTCTGAACTCCGTGAAGAGAACTGCAATCGCCGCATCATCCTCCATCACGACAATGCGAGTTCTCACACCGCGCACAGAACAAAAGAGTTTTTAGAGCAAGAAAACATAGAATTATTAGACCATCTGCCGTACAGCCCCGACCTAAGCCCTAATGATTTCTATAATTTCCCTAAAATAAAGAATAAATTGCGTGGACAGAGATTTTCATCACCTGAAGAAGCTGTGGACGCCTACAAAACGGCCATTTTGGAGAACCCAACTTCCGAATGGAATGGTTGCTTCAATGATTGGTTCCATCGTATGGAAAAATGTGTCAAATTTCGCGAAGAATACTTCGAAAAGCAATAAATACATTTTTAAATAGTAATGTTGTGTCACTTCGTTAATTCCCGAAATTTTCAGTGCCGCCTCGTACTTGTTTGTAAATAATTTAAAAGCTAAAAGCAAAATATTAACTGATAACTTTTTCATATTTTATTCACGTTACGAATACATGATGCAGATCTATGAATTTAGAGAGGTTAGAAATGTATTTATTTATCTAGAGTGCCTTATAAGAAGCTAATTCATTTTGATACAGCAAATTTGAATAAAGAACAGAAAATTTACTACAATATTAGATGCTATTTACAATGTTGTAAATAAAAGAAGAATATAAAGATAAATATAAATTTGCTCCAATATAATCGAAAACAAAGATATGGAAAATCACGCATATCTTTGCAACTCGAAATATTATTTTACAAGCTTGTAACGTATCATTCAAAATGAAGTCCATGCGGTAAATAAGCAAAGAAAATAAAAGCATTATTAAATTTTTGTTTCCGATTGATTTATTTCAACATAGATAAACGAGATTTTCGAATCAATTTATAGATGCAGTCATCGAACTAACCTCGAGTAGGTTCCAAGGAGTCAATGAACTGCGTAATTTATCCAACAAACTAGACTAAAAAATATATGATGAAGCTTAATATTCCGACAGCAAACATTGGAATACACTTATGCTTAAGGAGTGAAAGAAATAAAGATTAATAAATCATTGCCAAAAATATATACCTTGAGATATAGGATCGTGTTGTTTTCACAACAGCTACTCTTCACGCCTTCTACTCACTCTACTTCACTACCTTCAAGCCCGAATAAATATCTACTTCGCGGCAGAAATAGGCAGGATTATGATACCTATTCTTGCCGACTTTCTTATTCGCTCCCAAAATCCCAGAAATCTCTAAACGCTTGAAGGAGGTTACACGTGATGCTAAGGCTGGTACTTTGCACAGAGAGTGAGTCTGGCTGTCCAACGAGGCAAAGTAGCCAGTATCTTGGGAACTGTGCCTCCTTCAAGCGCATTGGAAGATCTGTTCTACTGTGTGAGTTGATTTATGTTAAATTATTTTGATTTGACTTTTTGTTAATAATAAATAAATTGAGTCTCCCCAAATTAATATACAAAACCGAAAGTTATAAAAAAAGCCCTAATTTTTTTCATCAGAAGTACTGAGCACTAATTAGTTTAATTATAGACGCACTCATTGAGCGAAATTACGCCAATGCGTGTGCTCCTAATCTGAGTGACACTTCACTGATTAGTCGCCCTCCCTTGTCACGCAATCACAAAGTGGAGGCCACTCGACAAAAACAAAAATGTCCCTCATCTCACGAAATTGGGCGTTTCACGTACGGTATTTTCGGCTAAGCCTTTACCTCTGCTGTCATATTACCAAATTGATAAAATAAAATAGAGAAACTGCGTAATAAGAATGAAGTTTTGCTTATCTCCTAGAATCCTGATTTTGAAT